TATCACTAAAATTAACTGAAACTAGCCTAATTCGAACCTAACTGAAACTAACGAAAATCTAATTCAAACCTAACTAAAATTAACCGAAGTCTAACTAAAACTAACCTGAATCTAAATCTACCTTAATCCTAAATCTAACTTACGACTAAATTCCCGATATTACAATATTATAAGAAAATCTTAATCGCATTGAAACGGAAGGTGTAACTGCTGATGGGGTTAATGAAATGCAGCGTGAAGATTCTGTAAGATTGGATTTCGCGAAAATGGACTGTTGTATCATTTGCTTGTACATGACGTATTCTTTTTCACTGCGAACTTGTTTTATAGGGGTTGGTTAACTGGTCAATTATTTCAAAGTGTAGGTTGGCGCTAAAGTAAAATCCTAAAATCAGGTGTCAATCGAAGGATCAACGTTTGACTATTTTTGTGAGACTTCAGTCTTGTAGACGTTAAGACTTTTTATCAGCACGAGGGGGGAAAAAAACAGGCGAGTCGTTGTCTTAGAGATCCTTGATAAATAGCTAAAAATAGAATTTCTTCGTGCTAATGAGAAATTCTAGAAAACTGCGAAACAAATTAGATGCCCGGAGTGTTTCGCAATGCGCGAAAAACAGCAGGATGAGCGCAAACGATAACAATTGACATTACATATATATATGTGAGATCGATACCGATCGATTTTTCTCAAAAAATCAAAGCCCATTTGAATTGAACACTGTGTGTGACTGTCTTACCTGCGTGACCGTGTATGGCGAATTTTTGCCGGGGAATCCTCGGAGGAAGCCGTCGCCGTCTTGTGGGGCAATAGTGGTCAGGTTGAGAAGCAGGGTGCCTTCCGTGGTGATTGCGTCCTTCCCCTCCATACGAGCCTAATCGGCAGTCTGGAGCATCCGAAGCGCCCCCCTTGTCCACGGCTACGTCATGCTCCTTCTCTCCTCTCGACCATGGGATTCCACGGAGTCTCTGGCCGTGCATGGGAATCTCCGAACGATTCCACGATCCCACCACCACGATCCTACCTGAGCTTTAGGTTCGTCGTTAGCCCGTTGCTCGCACGATCCACATCTGCCACATCTGAAATCAGTGTTTCAAATCGGTGGTTATGCGATCGGCCGCAGAGATCGACTGGTACACAGTAGGCGCTGTGTAGAGCTGTTTTGGTGCACGAGGTGGTGCATCAGGCATGACCGCGGTGTCAAGACCCCGGTGTGCCGCTGTTCTTGGATGAGACGAGTAATTGGAATTGGATTGCAGGCTGGGATTGGAATTCCGAACGACTGCCGTGGGTGCGTTTTGGTAAGCACGGTTTAACCGCTCCGCAACCACGGACGAGGGATTTCGCGTTCGTACGATACCACGGACGAGTTATTCCGTGTTACTCGTTACAATGTATGAAATACAGTGGCGGATGATTAATAAGACTGTTGGCTGGCAAACTCTGTTTTTGAGAAATATTTCAAGAATTATATCACCGTCGAATCATCGTAGTTTTTCTTTGGACATCGTTAGAATCACCGTTCCTATTATTCGTACTAGCGTTCGGTATTATCGACTGACACTATATTATATTGTTATAGTAAAACAAAGTAAAATCGTAAAATATTCCACTGCTGTAGTTATAAGCATAGTATTATATACAATACTATATATAGTATAATATTGTATACTATAGCATTGTATACTATTGTATAGTA